GAAGTATTCTAATTTGTTGAGATAGTGAATTTTTTTTAAAAAAATGGTTTTTGTTAAATGTGAGCCAAAATCATCACAATTAAAAGAACCAAAGACTTAAACTACTTCAGTCTGTGTGCACTGAATTTATTTAATACACGAGTTTCACAATTTGAGTTGAATTACTGAAATAAATGAACTTTTCCACGACATTCTAATTTATTGAGATGCACCTGTATATACACAAGTTTTCTCATTTAAAATGAACAAAAAGTTAATTTTGGATTTTGCATACTGCATTAGAATAACAGGCAAATCTAATCTAAATGACAAACGTTATGATCCAGTAATGCTGGGTACCGTTTCTTGGAACAAAATGTGGCTGTACTGCTGCCCACATCTGTATTAGGTTGCACTCTCAAATCCACCGCTACCCTTTGGCCATTTTTTAGACTCAATGGAGCGTCTTTTTAATCCCTCAAAACAGGCTCAGTCATTGCTGGGCAGATGAAAGCTTTACTGTGGACTCCAGAGTGCATTCCTGCGAGGTAAGAGTGTAAATTTAGCTCTCTCCGCAGAGTCTGTTTCTGATAAGAGACCTGATGAAGTAGGCCCACACTGAGGAAAGAGATACGAGTGAGAATGCAGTGTATATAATGTGTGTATTGCAATGCTGTGTTGTCTAATCGGACAGGAAAGAATTTCATTCATTCTGGAAAACTTTAGGGTGTGTCTGCACAACATGCCTGCGTGGGGCAATGGTCTAGAAGAATAAGAAAGAATGATTAGACCCTAACATTACAGATCAACAAGCCAAGCAATATAAATCTATGTTTAACATTTGAGCCATAGCTATTTACAAATATCTTGTAAGTTGCTTCGGTAAGAAAGGATCTGCTAAGTATAAATACAGTAAGTGAGGTTCAGTTTAAGGCCTAAATGAATTCTATTATCATCCAACTAGGCCTGAACAACCAATCATGTTCTATTAAGCCAACCAGATTTAACAGAGGATCTATATGCAGACCGCAGGTCCTGTAGACTAAGTGGAGACTAACTTCCTTCCTAAACTTTTTTTTTTTTACTTAAATGGGGCTGCATTTTGTGAATATAGAAAAAAAAAAGATCACTAAAGTCATGTAAAATTGTCTCAAATATATGTGGTCTGATATGTAAGTGTAATCACCAAACATGTCAAAAAATATTACAGGTCAAATACTCATAAATTGACTAAATTAGTTCTGAAAGTGTTTAATCATGACAATCAATGTACATGTTTTACAACTCAGAGTGAAACAAGTGTTGCAATTGTGCTACAGCAAGAGAAGGAATGAATCAGTTTAAGTGAAGGTGAGCCTGCAAGATGCAAGTTCACTTATGTGGTTCTAGTCTATAATAGGATTGAAGCTGTGGATTGTTTAGATATCCCTTTGTGATGACTCTGACCATTAAAACTCCATCAAACAAAAATCTATCATACACCAAATGTAGAGTTTGATATGAAATCAGTTATAGTAGACTACATGTCAGTAAAGCACCTGTCCAATGCAGTTCAGTATATATCTAAAAACGCTATTATAGACTACACAATAAATAAAGGCGATGTTTATATATATATACAAGAATTCCCTGCCAAGGACACCGGATTAAGCTACTATAATGCCTTTTGGTGGGGGATCTAAAATTAGCCCCTGCATCCATTCTAATCCCAAGGACGTCATCCTGTGTTGGAAGCATCTGTTGACAGTCCGCATTCCAATCGTATCAGCAACAGACACACAGAGCCGCGCGCTGCTGCGCTATTGTTAGTTCGGTACCCGCTGCATCCATCCTCAGCACGCGCTCCCGACAGCCGGAGCCAAACCAGACCCCTCCGTGACACTGACAGACCACAGAGCCCATAACGGGACGGGATTCCTTCGCAAACAACTGCTGAATCTAAGCTAAATGACAGCTTAAGATTGATAAATAAATAAATAAAATAAAAAACTTAAGTATTTAAAACTAAGTATTAATACTATTAAATTATTATATATAGTAAATAATTATATAATTATATGAAAATATATCTAAGAAAATATGAGAAAATACACAGGAAAATAAATTAAAGTTTTAACATACATAAACTTAAAGTTAAATGATATTTATCATTTAACTAATTATCTGTAAATCATTATATAATTTAATATTTAAGTGCAAATTAAACAATTCTTACCTTCCGTTGCTGCTTTTCCCATGCTGGATCCAGCAGTAAATCCCGGTCCCATTCTTCATCCTGCATCATGTAATCGTCCGGTTCATATCCATTATCATATGGAACCGAAAGCTCGATCTGATTCATCATTTTCAACCGTTCAAGCGTTATATTCTCCTATTTGATGGGTAAATTGTGATATTCGGCTTCTAAGCTTGAGTTTTTGGGTGTAAGTGGACTCTTCAGTGCCTCACGTGTCTCTTTCTTTCGTGTTGCTCTCCAGTCTCGCGGCCGCAGTGCGCGAGCAGTGACAGCAATGAGAGGAGCGGCTGTCAATTAGTACCGATGGGTCACATGACCTCTTCTCCTTCCACCCGCGGGACCCACAACACTCACAATCGTTATTTTAACGTTAATGTAACAGACAAGCAAACTTCTCCATTACATTTAACAAATGCAGTCACACCTTAAAAGCTGCCTAAACTCACAATAGTACATAACTCACACAGATAAATCTTTTCAAATTAAAGTAAATAAATCAGTAAAAAAAAAAAAAGCGAGCTTCACTGCATAGTTTAATCACTGGTTCTACCAGAATTGCTTAGATTTTTTTTTTGGTGTTCTGTTAAAAAGTTAATTTTAGGTATAAATAATTTATGCTGTCATTTCATAGATCAAAGTCACTTAAAATAGTGTTTATAAGGCAGGCTATATAATAGGGCAGGCACTGGTAATAAACCTGTTTTACCTTTTGATGTCCAAACCCAATGAGGTCTGCCTGGAAATAAAGAGCTACGCGTTGGTTTCCCATTCATCTCAATGGCAATTGCTTGAACGGTGTTGTGTAATATTCAGTTCCATTGAAAAACTGAATATTACACAACTTCAGCTTAGCAAAAGAGATTCAATATACAACCAGGCCAATGCAGAAATTGTTTTGCCTCTTTTCTCAACGGTTGAACAGGAAATTGGACTATACCATTGCAGTCAGAATGGGGGGAGAGGGGTAAAATAAAGCTTACTGTCACTTTAACAAACGTTTTGATGCTTAATTGGTGTATTACTTTAGTTATTGTTAAATATATTGTTAAATATGTAAGTTTGTTAATATTTTGGATATATTATTTTGAGGTTTGTTTTTATTATTAGGTTTCATTATTGAATGTAGTTATTTCTTAACTTCCTTTGTATATATTCCTTTATTAGGCTAAGAGTTTGCAGTTTGTACAATGCACAAGAAAATTGGCTATATGTGTACTGTATGATCCTGAATGGTACAGAAAAAATTAGTTACTTAAATTAGGGAAGAAGACAGAAAAGGAGGGGGGGGGGAAGAGAAAAATAGGAGGAAGAATCAGCAGAAATTCATCTTGATTACACTACAGTCCACTAGGTGGTGCTATGCACACTGAATGCAAAAGAACGCAGGAGGGGTTTTATTGTACAAAAAGGTTCTCCACAAGATGATCCTTGTATTCTCCAATTATGCTGGAGAACATGAATATGAGGTTTTACACAAACTTGTGGAGTTCATGCAGCTCAAGTGATGCTCATTAAAGCACAAGGGCAAAATACCAAATTTTTCATTCAACTTTTAACTTAAATTGTTATGCTGATAATACAATTTGCAATAGGAGATTCCTTATTCAGTCAGACATCCTTGTTACTGTATACTGCTTGAAAATCAATCTCAGAATAACTTCAAGAATGGCCAGTCAACAGCATTTTTCTCCAGACCATCTTGCATTGTGCTAAATGCGTTCACGCATATCATGATTACTTATAAACTGAGGCAAACAAAAGACAACTGAAACTGAGAGCATAGAATTTATTTCTGTAGAAAACTATCACACGTCCATACGCACAAGTACAACAACAACAACAACAACAAAAGAGAACAAATACAAATGAACGTTTTTCGCATTGGCCTCAGGAATGAAGAAAATACTCTTGGGTACTTTTGTAGGTGTTTCAGGGATTCGTAAAACATATTTTTGTAACAGATCTTTTGGTCTTAATACAATTTGCAATAGGAGATTCCTTATTCAGTCAGACATCCTTGTTACTGTATACTGCTTGAAAATCAATCTCAGAATAATTCAAGAATGGCCAGTCAACAGCATTTTTCTCCAGACCATCTTGCATTGTGCTAAATGCGCTCACGCATATCATGATTACTTATAAACTGAGGCAAACAAAAGACAACTGAAACTGAGAGCATAGAATTTATTTCTGTAGAAAACTATCACACGTCCATACGCACAAGTACAACAACAACAACAACAACAAAAGAGAACAAATACAAATGAACGTTTTTCGCATTGGCCTCAGGAATGAAGAAAATACTCTTGGGTACTTTTGTAGGTGTTTCAGGGATTCGTAAAACATATTTTTGTAACAGATCTTTTGGTCTTAAAAGGTTGGTCTTGCAGTTTGCTGTGTTCCCTGTAACAATTACACTAAGGTTTATGGAGTGTTCAGTGGTTTAAATGAAAGACTTAAGTAACTTCTCAAAAAATAGAGGTCTGTTGGAGTTTAAGACAAGACAGAAGTTAAAAATCAATTCTTAATAAATAAACTAAAATAAATCATTCGGTTGGATCTCTGCATATTCATGGTGCTTACATTCACGGTATGTGCTGCCCAAAAACCTCACAACATTTCTGAGTCTAATATTTGGGTAGAAGGGCACGTCAATAGAAGACTGCATAGACTGATGCACAGTTATTCACTCCTTGTACAGACACTCATCCCATACTGACCAAAACTGACACCATGACACTAAACAGGAAATAAAAGAAGAAAGGAATTTGTCATTCATTCTCTGACATTTCACAGGGTCGTCTGAATTCTTGACCTCGTTCATGTATCCATTTGTTTGATACTGGAGGAAAAGAATAGAAGGAGAGAATAAAATAAGTGAGAAAAGAAGTTTGTTACAGATGTTGTTGGCCAAGCATTTACTTTTGCATACTTGCTTCTCAACTGATTAAGGGAATGATACATAAATGCCATATTTACTACAGACTCACCCCATTTGTTGCCTACTAATACTGGACAGGCAGCATGTCTTGTGCTGTAGTCTCCTTCTCCACTGGCAAAAAGGTTATACCAGAACACTGCTGTACCCTGAAAGATAACAACCAAAGAGAGTGAATAGTAAAATTAATCAACTAGTTTACAGATTATGAAAAGTAATTTATTGTTAGTGGTGATTCACCTTTTTAGGCCATACTGCTGCTCCAACATCTGGGAAGACTGTAGCGCCGCCTGCTGACACATCACTCATCTGCAACATATCAAAAGTCATGATAGTACAGCGCATGTATAATTTTACATTACTTTACAATTTGTAGCAAGCATTTTAACAAGCATATTTAATTATAAAATCAGACATGTGATACATCATGTTGAAGACCATAAAATGGTGAAAGTAATAGCGTGTCTTGACATATAGTGTTATATCAAGTGTGTGCATGTGAAAAACAGGTCACTCACATAAAAGAGCCAAGTGGCAATTCTGTTTCCTGTTCCAAGTTCTTTAAAGGCATCTGGTTCATCTTTCTGTACGTATAAAAAAAAACAGTGTGAATCAGGGGCGTAGCCATCATTTCAGAAGTGAGGGGTACAGAAATGTTATATATATAAAAAATAAATAAATAAATAAATATATATATATAAAACATTACAATATAACATTTCTGTAATCTATATAACCTACCAGTCAACAGTTTTTGAACAGTAAGATTTTTAATGTTTTATAAAGAAGTCTCTTATGTTCACCAAGCCTGCATTTATTTGATCCAAAGTACAGCAAATGCAGTAATGTTGTTGAAATATATATTGTATGTGTGTGTATTTATATATACATAATAAATGTGCACAGTACACACACATATATTATGTAAATGAAAACTTTTATTTTGGATGCAATTAATCGTGATTAATTGTTTGACAGCACAAGTTTAATGTGTCCTTGCTGAATAAAAAAAACACATTGACGCCAAACCTTTTGAACAGTAGTGTATATAAACAATATAATAATGCTTTGCTGATTTAAAGGTCTGATATGTGTGTCTTTTTTATCTGTGAAAGAAGGACAGGTACTCACTCTTCCAAAGTCAAAATGAGGTTCATATTGACCGCCAACTCCATAATTTGCAACCTTGGATGAAAAATATTGATTATGACAACATTTCCAACAAAGCAATATTGCAATGGGTGGATTATTGTTACGTGAATGTGCCATCAAGCTAAAAGCATCTTATTGGCTGATTACGTGAAAGCCTCTCTTACCTGCAGCTCTTCTGCTGTGTCCATTTCCAGGCCGGTTATATCCTCGATACGCTGGTTAATCTTTTCAATCGTAGAATGCTCATATCCAAACAGCCAAGCACTAGAATGAGGAAAATGAGTGCAAGTTGAAAAAAAGTGAAACAAATATATACAAAAGCAATTAATATGCCACTATATAATAATAAACAAAACACATGCCACAACATGCACATGAATGATTTTCAGACGTTTTCACATCATGTTTGTGGTGAAAAGACTTCTAACGTGCTATAAAATGGATTAATTTATTTGATTTAGTTATGAATGTGAAAATGTCTGATTGTGGAAACGGACAGACAGGTGAAGCCGTGAAGAGTGGAAAACGGTATTAAAAACAGAGAAGACAGCAGTCGGCAAAATAAGTTCACTCTCTCTTCACACTGAATATCAGAGTAAAGGAAATCAGCAACAGTGAACTCATTCAGGAATAGGAATGAGTGTGACTGTGTGTGTGTGTGTGTGAGAGAGAGAGAGAGAGAGAGAGAAAGAGAGAGGCCCCTCAGCTACTGCAAATCAACTAAAACATTAAACTTAACCATGTTTTCTCACATGAAACTGTTATTTTCCCCAAAGTCATTGCTAACTGATACCTACAATGATTAAATAAATCAATTAATTGCATTTCATTCGCATTACTCTTCAAAAGTTTGGGGTCAGTAAGATTTTTAAAAAAAAGTTTTTCAACAGTAATATTGTGAAATATTATTACAATTTAAAACAAATGTTTTCTATTTTAATAGATTTTAAAAGGTAATTTATTCCTGTGATGGCAAAGCTGAATTTCCAGCAGTCGTTACTCCAGTCTTCAGTGTCACATGATCGATCACAAATCATTCTAATATGCTGATTTGGTGATCAAGAATTTATTTGAAACATAAATTTTTTGTAACATTATAAATATATTTACTGTCACTTTTGATCAATTTAATGTGTCCTTGCTGAATAAACTTTTTTTTTTTTTTTCAAAAGACTCCTACTGACCCAAGCTTTTGAACGGTAGTGTATATACAATTTATTTTAATATATTTATTCTCTTCACATGTCTTAAACTCAAAATCCAACACATTCATAGCTTTTGATGTGAAAGGAACCCTTGAGTATTCCAGCGACTCCACCCAGTCTGCCCATGCTGAGACGTGTGTTCTCAAACATACACACTCATAATAACTAGGATAAGTTAAACCTCTCTGGTGTGGGTGGAAATATGAGTGAGACAACAGAACTATGTATAGCTCTATTAAAAAAGATATTTTAGGTCACAGACTCCAGCGGCTTGTCATGCAGAAACTCAAGGCGCTGTGCTGTACGTGTGCATCCACAATTATTTATTTATCAATTCTCAAATATTTAAAATAGTCAAAATATGAACGGGAGTGTAGGAGAAGAAAGACTCCAACATCTGTTGCCTGTGAAAGTGGGTCACTAAACCTTCTACAGCTAATTTACAGCCAAGTGAAGGTTGGATTTTTGGGCTTAATCCAGTATCCGAACACAGTATGAATTTAAGGGGGCTCTCTAGAGATGATGATTTTGGATAGAATGTTTTGACCTTTGACCTTTTGATCCCTTACATCTTGGAGACTCTGTAATGGGCAGTGGTCAGTTTTCCCGTAATGGGATCGTGCACAGTGGCTCGCTTTAGCTATTCACCATTACACAAAGCAAAGAGGAGAGAGAGAGCAAAGGTTGGAAGAGGAGCAAGAACACACAAAAACATGGACAAAGAAAGTGCAAATAAAAAGAATGAAGAGAACAGAAAAGGAGAGAGAAAGAGAGAGAGAGAGAGAGAGAGGGGTCACTTTAGTGTCATTTTCTGAACTGAAGCTATATAAAGAACAGGGACAGAACTGTACACCAGCAGCGATGCAAAATTTGAAATCATTTTGACTCCTTAGTTATTAGCATAAATGAATATGAGTTACTAAATCCTAAACTTTCAAATTGTAATTTCGAATCACTCTGTCCCTGTTCAAGCCCTCTGCACAGACCACATGACAACTACTGCAAGAAAAAGTAACAAAGTAGAGAATTTCTTACTCTTTCTTTCTTTTATCCAGCACCATATGACAAAAAGGCTATTTCTTCCTCTCTGGCAGAGGGTCTTTGGACCGATTCCTCTGAGAGTCACGTTTGTCCAGCACTTTCTTCTCTCTTTTTTTATCTTCCTGTTCCTTCTTCTCTGCCTCTGCCTTTCTCTGCTTCTCTAGCTGGAACTCAAAGTACTTTAGGTTCCCATTGGCCCTCTGGTGATTCGGGTCTGAGATTCATTTCACACACACACAAAGACAATTCCAAGTTAGAAAAAACATATTTTACTGCCATCAGTCATCATTTCCATGTCATGTAAGTTCATTGTTTCTACCATTGTCCTTATTAACCCATATATGTCATTCTTATCATTTATTAATTATAATTTAAGCCCCTTTAAGGCAAGTTAGTTCAAACAACAGTCATCATCACCCCAGGCAAGGTTATTTTCTATGTAGGTAATAGGCACAGGTCCTATCTACTCAAATAAACTAAAAATCAAAAAGATATATACTAAAATTCTGGCCATTCCCTACAAGCCAATAATTATTACTTAACTAAACAACAAAAAAAATAATAAAACATTAAAAATAAAACTCATTTTAAATGAGTGTTAAATGCTACATTTTAAATGCTATAGACATCATAACATTATAATAATGTATCAAATGAAATGTTAATATTTATTTTTAAGATTTTATAAAGATTACATTTGCCCAGTGCTGTTATTGTTAACTATAACTAAAACTAAAAATATAAAAAATTATTTTCATTAAATAAATATGAAATAAAATATAAATATTACATGAAAAACTAAAAAAAGGACAATTAGAAATGCTGCCTTGGCAACTAACTGAAATAAATAACTTTAAAGGGGTCATATGATGCGATTTAAATTTTTCCTTTCTCTTTGGAGTGTTATAAGCTCTTGGTGCATAAAGAAGATCTGTAAAGTTGCAAAGACTAAAGTCTCAAATCCAAAGAGATATTCTTTATAAAAGTTAAGAGTCAACCACGCCTACCTAAAACAGCTCGTTCTAACACGCCCCCACATATCTACGTCACAATGTGGGAAGATTTGCATAACGCCGCCCAAATGTTCACGCAAAGAAAGAAGGCGTAACTTTGATTCTCGCTGTAGTATTGTTGCTGATGCCATGTCGAGACGCTGTGTGTTTCGTTATGAAAGCGAAACTACTTTGTTTGGCCTTCCAAAAGAGGACAATATCTGCTTTGTCATGCCTGGAGCTGATCCGTGCTGATCGCTGAGGAAATACACGGATCGGCTTTCACCATGTGTAAAAAGACAGTACAAGTCACTATAATCCGTGATTATGTCCCCACTGGATGCAACAAATGCCTCGTTTATAATGAGTTTTAATGTTTTTGTCTCGTCGCTCCGGCCGGGACACGGCATCACAGTATGGTAAGGGGCGTAACATTTCCGTCACACGCTTGAGGTATTCGGCCAATCACAACGCACTGGATAGCTGGCCAATCAGAGCACACCTCGCTTTTCAGAACGATGAGCTTTGTAAAAATCAACGCGTTTCAGAAAGGCGGGGCATAGAGCAGAAACAATAATGTACAGTATGTGGAAAATAATGTGTTTTTGGAACGCATAAACACATATATGCATTACACCAAATACACAAAATAATGTTATTTTTAGCAACATCATATGACCTCTTTAAGTACAAAAATTTCTAAAATGAAAATGAATTAAAAAAACTAATATATAATAAAATAACTAAAGCACATAACAAAAATACTAAAACTAAAATCTTAATAAAAACAGAAGAATTGTGGAATTATCTTCTTTACGTGGATTGTGCATCGCACGGCTCTGCAGCGCGGCTGAATCTAATGTTTTGAGGTTTTGAGGTGTATGTGTGGGCTGTCAGTCAACACACCAGTGTGGATATTCACTGTACTTCGGAATTACAGCTACTATGTCTTAGAAATATGTCCAAAATAAGAAGGTTAACCAGAAACTACATTTTTAACCAAAAAAAGTAATGCAGCTTTAAATGATTAGTTAGATTTTGTTTTACCCAGTTTCAGCATCCTCTTGGTGAGCTCGAGGGCTCGCTCTAGTTCCCCCTGCTGGTAGATGGCATAATTTAGGTAGTCCATGACTGAGACCTTGTCTATGTTTAACCAGAAACTACATTTTTAACCAAAAAAAGTTACGTAATGCAGCTTTAAATGATTAGTTAGATTTTGTTTTACCCAGTTTCAGCATCCTCTTGGTGAGCTCGAGGGCTCGCTCTAGTTCCCCCTGCTGGTAGATGGCATAATTTAGGTAGTCCATGACTGAGACCTTGTCTATGGTGGATTCTTCCCCTTCATCCAGCTGTGTGAGGGCCTGAGCCATCCAGAGCTCTGTGTGATAATAATCTGCCTCAGAGTAAGCAATCTTTCCCAGCTCAAAGCAGTCTGCCACTGTCATCCGGCTCTTGTGCACAACACCTGAGGTCACACCAGTGAGGAGACATAAAAACAAATAGTCTCTATAATTACATGTCATATATTGACTTTCGTTGTTCTAACTATCATGAAACTAATATGATTATGATGCTATTTTTTAGATGTCTATTTCACTGTTGTCCCAAAGGACCTCCTTCTCAGCAGTCAATCAACCATTATGCTACAATGAGGGTTACTTTTCTAAATAACCATCTGTGGACACGCATTTGAAACACACATTACTTCCAGGTGAGGTGTAAACAACGAGATGGATTGTAACAACTGGCGTTTTCTTTTCTTTTTTTTATGGCACAGGTTTTATCACTCTATCCCATGGGAACATTACAAAGATTTTCAAAGAGATATATACGCAAGTTATCACAGACACAGCATGATGCTTCTCATAGGGTTCACACAGACTGTGGTAACGCAATGTACTTGATAAAGATATGCACGGTCTGGAATGCATAAACACACAGACATCTACAATTGCTCACCAGGCAGGTCTCCATTAGAGATGGTGTTGGCAGACAGCTGGTATGTGTCCTGTAATCTAAGCAAAGCTTTGGCTGCTCCTGTCTGGTCCTCGTCTGTTGGGAAAAACTGTCTCTGGACGGTCAGATTGGAGATAAACCCTACAAAAGAGAACAAACAGAGAAGAGAGGCTTGACCTTGAGGATTACAAGATTACAACAGATTAAAAGGTTTATAACACATACAGAGACATTTAAGCAATTAATGCAATTACTAATAGCAGTGGGCTGTATGACTAAAATCATAAATCACTGTTACAGTACACTACCATTCAAAGGTTTGGGGTCAGTAAGAAATTCATATTTTTATTCAGCAAGAACACATTAAATTAATCAAAAGTGACAGTAAAGACATTTATAATGTTATAAAAAATTTCAAATAAATGCTGTTCTTTTGAAGTTTATTAATCAAAGTATATTGTAAAAATATCACAAAAATATTAAGCAGCACAACTGTTTTCAACAATGATAAGATTTTTTTTCTTAAGCTCTGAATCTGCATATTAAAATGGCTTCTGAAAAAGCATGTGTCGATGAAGACTGGAGTAACGGCTTCTGAAAATTCAGCTTTTCCATCACAGGAATAAATTACATTTTAAAATATATTCAAATGAAAAACAGTTAATTTTCATTTGCAATAATACTGCAGTATTACTGTTTTCACTGTATATTTGATCAAATAAATGCAGCCTCGGACTTCTTGCAAAACATTAAACAAAAATCGTACCAACCAACAAAAATTTAAAGTGTAGTGTACATCATAGAACATTGTTATTTCTGCTAAAAATTCAACCTGAAAATGTTATATCGATATTTCCTAGCCATGTGGAAAAGGACAATTGATGGCAAGGCAAGGCAAGGCAAGGCAAGGCAAGTTTATTTGTATAGCACATTTCATACACAATGGTAATTCAAAGTGCTTTACATAAAAGGATGGATACAAAACAAATGCAACAGTCATTCTTTAGTAAATGAACAATAAGTCAGATATCAGCACATGAATAGCTTAACATTATGTAACACTTGAAACAGTAACTATATAAACACGTGATATATAAATAAATATATTTTTAAAGAGATGTATAATGTCATTCTGCCCATCACTAATTACTATGTCAGACTTTGAATGTCACTAACCATTGGTGGTGTCTTTCAGCACCAGGCTCTCCAGATCAGCCCACTCACTGTTGAGTCGTTTCATCAGCTTAAAGGCATTGACCGGGTGCCCCAGGAATCCCTCAGGGTCCTGCGTGGCTGTGATTGTCAGTGAGTCCAGTTTGTCTGCCCACCTGTTGCAGGAAAAGAAGCAGAATATTCACCAGCTGTCTAGTTATTTGTGAGGCAAAAGACAATCTCAACTCCCCAAGCAGACAGACATGTTGAACATGTGCGTTTACTCACTCTTTGACCTGCTCTAGTCTATTCTCCTCTTGTCTGATGTATTCTTTTAGTGATGTCACCAGGTCCTTCTCTGTGTACAGTAGGTCTGTCATCTGACCTACAAGTCAAAAAGCCAAATTCAAAAAGTCACAATTTTTCTGATATTTGCTTACTATATATATATATAGCTTGCAAAAAAAACAAAAAAAAACATTGATGCTACCTTTGAATGACCCCTTGGTCACAAGCACTTCCTGCAAGTTTCGAATGTTTGGCAGGATGTATAGCCTAATAAGGAATGGATACAGTACGGAACAAAACAATGGAAGATCAACTCACCTATAGAAGTGAAGAAGTCACTGTGGGCATACAGGGAATGGAAGAGGAAACTCAACAGGAACCAACACAAAGCCATCCTGAGAGAAACAGAGAGTGTCATATGGGATAAATCTAACACAATGCAATGCATCTTTTTGATGATGTTGTAAAAATGTATTTTTTCTGCCTTTTGATGTGTTAACACAATCAGATACGACAGCCAACTCTCAGGGCAAGGAAAATGCATTACTGAACCAATTATCACACTGAAAATACATTGAAAAATTTGGTTTTGGTTGCCAAACCCCCAGCGCACACCCATTGGGATACACATGACCACAGAGTGGTCACTGCAGGATCAGAATTTCGGCACAAAGGTGGAATCCAGAGGGCAAACAAAGAGCACCACACCAGGCCTGTGGGAAAATCCCTTTTGTGTGCTTAAGCCAGCGTCAGCATGTATAAACAAGATGTCACGTTTGTTTGTTGAAAAGGACAACTACGGCAACCAGGGGAAAGCCTCGGGGCAAAGAGAATGCCTCATTAGACAAATATCCTGATTAAACTTACACACACTGAGAGATCCACACAAAGCTGTTATGCACAAAATCATAAGCACCAGTATTATCAGTATTGTTGTATTATCAGTTACAAATGTTGCATCTAAAATGCATATCAGAGTTTAATATTTTGCAGATGTGTCATGGTATGCAAAAAGCATCTGACACATGAAATATGCAGAAGTAATGCCCTTAAGGGGCCTGCTCTTCTGTGCTTGCTCATGTGCTCTGCAGAAGGAACCTGTCTGAACCAGCAGGCATCTTGCATGAACTACTGGTAATACCACATGTCAGAATAAGATGAAGGGTATAAGATCATCATGAAGGATACAATGTAACACGTGAACTTGCATGCCTTAACATAGAGAACTGGCTTTATCATAAAGATCTACATAGAAATTAAAATCTTAAATCAAATAATTGACTTTCAAAGGTAACATCTAGCATTAGAACATCGTCAACTTTCTTTACTATTCAAAGACATCAAGGGAAATCAAGTCAGAACTAATTCCCAGAATAATCTCCTCTAAACCTCATAAACCTAAATAAAAAAAATATATATCTTAAACCTAATCTAAAGAAAAATCTTGATTTTCAATACTGTATTGCAATTACAACTTTTCAGATTTTTTTCACTTTCACCTAATCAAAATTCAATTTATTTTTTGAGAATATTGCTGATAATTGATAATTGTGTTCCTGTGGCTCGGTGGTAGAGCATTCCGTTAGCAGCGCAAAAGGTCGTGGGTTCAATTCCCAGGAAACACACATGCTGGTAAAAAATGCATAGTCTGAATTCACTGTAAGTTGCTTTGGATAAAAGCATCTACTAAATGCATAAATTATTATTATTAATTCATTATTGCTTCATGTGTCCCATAATATCACTTTCTATGCTACTGTCACTATCCTGTTAATCTTTTGTATCCTTTTAACCAAAAGCCAGGTTGAAACAAGTATTAGCAGTGTGTTTGATGAATTGTCATAATCAATATCATCATAATATCAAAATGAGTTCACAATAACTGTCAGTCCTCAAGCAATGGCTAACTTTAATTTTTCATTCCCATCCTTTTAGGCACCCTGTTACAGTTTTGCCCATACTTGTCTGCATATCTTCTTATAGACATATTTACTTAGATTACAGCACTAGTAAATTAATTTCTTACAAATTGCATACAGTAATTCAAAAGGTCCTGCATAATTACAGGAAAGACCCTAGTGGAGTGCGTGAGCTCGTGAGGGTCCAGTATGGAAGCCGGCCGCAGTTCATTGGGTGCTGAGACACGGAACTGCCACGTCTTCGCCCCGCCCCCTCGAAAATTCGAGAAGAACCGGACTGCAGACTCTTCAAAAAGTTCACAGACAACAGATGCGAATTGCGAAAGGAAAAGATCTGTGCAGCAGGACAGATGGGACTTTACTTTATAAAACATGGAATACTCTACTCAGAGTACTCACTGCAGCAGTGGGTCTGTCCATGAAACGTGCTTGACGCAGAGAAACACTTTTAACATATTTGTAACATTATTTCGCAACATACAATGCTGCAAATAATGTAATGTTCGTTTGCCTGGTCCAAATCCGCTTTAGACCACATACTTATTCTTCATAAGAGAAAAAAAAACTTGAAGAGTTTGTCATATATGAAAAACAAAACCCGAAGTCTGACATCTAATCGCTTAATGAGCTTGAAACTAATTTTTACTAAAGATTCAATCACTGACCACTTAAACTGTTTATTATTGTGACTATATTACTGTGTACTTTGAAGAATGAGTGCAAGATAAACTCGTGCACGTGCGCCACATTTTCACAACCAAAAGAGTTTTTCCAACTCTTTTTAGACATCAGAGTTTTTAATATCAAAGGAAGGAGTTATGTTTGTATTGTTGGTATTATGTATCACATTACATTTGCTCTACCGATGAAAAACAACATTGCAACAATAATTATTTTAACAATAAACCAAACGAAATTTCCTGAGAGGTTGGAAAGTAAATATCCTCGTACCTTTCAGGCTGTCACCGCGCGCAGAGAAACAGTGAATCGATCCAGATGTTGCTCTAGTGATGCTGATGAGATGAGATGAGATGAGGAGCTCAGCATGGATGGAGAACTCTTCTGTGTTTACGATGCTTGTGGTGTGCAGCTGGGCTTTATCCGAGAGGCTGCACCGCTCTTCTTCTCGCCTTCTGGCGGTGGGGATTCCGCTGAGCTACGTGCAGAGTCTCACACACTCTCCCAAACTAATGGAACCAGATGGAATTGAACTGCGCATGCGCATAGTACAGTTCCTACATCTCATTCCATAAGGGCCATCCTTCTGATGTGGTACTTGATACAGCTGGGGGTGTTCATTTGTTCTACAGTTTGGATACATATTTAGCACTTTGTACTGACATTGTATATAATACAATTATCCAACATATAGATTTTTTTTTTAAATTGTAGAATCCATTATGCATCCTTCATTAAAGAAATAGTTCACCCAAAAATGTTATGGATAGAGAAGCTTGTGGATTACTTACATTACTTGTGAATTATTGTGGTGTTTTTATATCTCATTCTGACACCACCCATTCACTGCAGAGGGTCAAGTGAGCAATGATGTAATGCTAAATTTCTCCAAATCTACATCTTGGATGGCCTGAGGGTGAGTACATTTTCAGAAAATTTTCATTTTTGGGTAAATTATTCCTTAAAAACCATGCCATTATGTGTCAAGGCTGAATATTTTATGCACTTATTTCACTTTCAGGTATTACACATTTTATCTTTTGTATTTCATAGCTCTGTTGCATAATGAATATGCACTGAAAAAAATGGGAAGTCATTGTTTTATTTGTATTTTTTTACTTCCAGATGAATTTTTTTCTGTGCAAAAAAGGAGTGGATGTTTCCTTCTCTCTTTCTCCTCTAATGCTCTGTCTTTCTCTGTTGCTTCCTCTCATTTTGATTTATAACAACTGTCTGAGATTTATTGTGGTTAAATAAAGTGGCAGCTGCTATTTATCTTTAAAGTTACTCCTGCTGATTTCAATTCTGAATCTGAATGCAACCTTTGCTTTCCAAATGAACTCTGAGCTATAAAAGAAGCAAACGTTTGTCACAAAGCCTGAAGAATGTCTGTACTTTTTCTGTTTGTTTGTGAAACCATACCACAATAGAGATACAATGGCACGCATTTGTGTTATAATGACAGTTTATTGCGCTCAGTGTAATTGATGTAAAAATATTCAGCATTTCCAAATAATTTAAAAGAAATGTTCTGTATTATTTGAAATGCTCATTTACAAAATAAAAATGTTTAATGTTTTAGCACAATCCTTTGAGAGTTGTCTTCAGTATTTTTTTCAATTCGTTCTTTTTTTTTATCAATTATGATTTCTTGTAATACTCCTGTCATCGCAACACTAGCCAAACATCTGGCTCTATACTAAAATGAATTTGGCACGCTCCTGTGAGACTGATTTCCAACTTTTTCTTTATCCCAGTCCTCAGTGTAAATCATTAAGGGCAGAAAAATGTCAAACACTGCAGACTGCAGCTGTGTATGTTCTGTGCTGTTTTTGTTTACTCTACTGATTCAAACTTGTTTTTTACTAACTTTATTGCTTTTTTGTCCATAGATCTCTCTCCTATATTGGAAGCTTATAAACCAAACATTTATATCATTACAAACCTAAACTAGACACAAATACATTTTGTCACCTTTAGTCCCTCATCCTAAAAGAAAAAAAAAAGCATTTACTGTTTTGTACCTGTTTAAACAGTGAAATCCCATCAAAAACTATTACTTTTTTGCTCCCCCCCCCCCATCCTACTTGAATGTTCATCTTACTAGTTTTGAGCAAATATGAAAAATGAGCATGAAGAGGATTCCTCCTTTTTATGTCACTATATTTTCCTTCAATATTTCTCAGAGACGGATGTCATCCAGTGAGGTGAGGCGCTGACCAAACAGCAGTTCCTCATAGTCAGAGAGTTGCCGAAGAAACCCAGCATTTGGGGCAGCGCAAGCACGTCTTTCCTTCAGCCAACGAAAAGCATGTAACAAAGACCAACGGCGATGCTCCATCAGGAATCCCAACGTCAGCACTGAGCTACGACTCCGGCCGAGGCTGCAGTGCACCAACACCCGGCCGCCTGGTGCCCCCGGTGCCCCCCGCAAAGCCTCAGCAATGAACCGAGAAGCTTCTGGAAGGGCCTGCCGAAGATCCTGCTGTGCGTCGTCACTTAGCCGTAGCCGAAGATAGCGTAAAACACTCGGGAAGGCATCTGAGATTTCAGCTGTGGCATTGACCACATGCGTAATGTGAAGGTTTTTGATGATACGGTAGTCATGTGCCTGCGAGGCAGAGCCCTGGTACAGCGCCCCCTCCAGGATTTCAGAGGCATAGATGGTGAGGGAGCGACGCTCTGACTCCAGTAGGACCATGCGAGGGGTGCACAGACACAGAAAGGGATAGAGAAAGTGAAAAGCAGAATAGCCCCCCTGGAGGATTACAGGGTCCATTCCCAAAGCACTCAGCTGGAAGAAACAGTGCTGGAGAGTAGGAGAGTCAGCTCGTGCCTCCTGACTGCCAACTAGAGCACAAAGCCACATATACATCCATAGTTATACATTATTATTTTTATATATTTATCATAATATTTGTACTTTATTGTATTTTTATTATATTATTTTATAAGTATACATTATTTTAACATATTATTTTCATTGTTGTAAATAATACAAAGTTATTATTATTATTATTATTATTAAGTCTAATAAAACAATTAACATAATAATAATAATAATAACAAAGATAAAGATAAATACAATAATTAATATAAATAGTTATATTTATATAAATATACCTTTTAAAAATAACAATAATTTGTTTAAATAATAATAATAATAATTTAGTTAGTAAAATGTCTAAACTGGACTATCAAAATAAGGTGTTACCTATTACACATATTGTCATTTATTTGACATATTATAAATTGTATTTATAAATAACACTTTTTATATTAATTTATCAAATTATTTATCATCGCAATTTTATTTTTAAACATAATGATATAGCGAAATAATATTTTTTTTTAATTATGAGGTTATGTTACACTTTATCAATTATTTATCAATTAATATAAAAGTATTACAATAACTTTTTGTTTATATTATTATTATTATTACCATTTTATTTAATGTAATTAATTATATTTATAAATAATGCATTTATATTGATTTATATATATATATATATATATATATAGCATAACTTCATTTATAAAATGTATTTAGCAATATCATTATTATTATTATTTTAATTAGACAGGTTTTTATTTTTTTAGGTTTTATTTTATTTACATTATGAGAATGTTATACCTGGACTTTGGCCTTCTTCAGCGTATAGCAGTATTATAGAAAACTCCTGCAGCTGAACACAGCTTATCAAACAGCCCAGTTCTGGATGCATCACTGTCACACTGGCACGGGCTGTGACCAGGTGACTCTGCTTATATCTGCACATGTATACACACACACACTAGTTAGTTACCATTAAACTTAAAAGACAGAACCACTCACAGTCCTTTCACTGAACGACGTGTATGTTTATGTGCATCACTGTTACCTCTCTGCAGAGCGGCAGTCCAGTATAAGTATGTAATAGGGATCATGCAGTGAAGGCTGGCCTGCTTCAGCATTCAGGAGGTTGTATACCTGCTGTGGGGTCACATAACCTCTTTCTATATTTACCTTTTCTGGAAGTGCAGGAATCAAAAGCTCTTTCACACAAAAA